TTCCTGCAGTGATAGCATCCAGGAAAATTACAAATATCACCAGTTTCCTCGAGTAGAACATGTCAACAATACCATGAATTAACATCCTGTTCTAACTATCTATAGCTGTAAAACCACCTAGTTATAAAACATATTGGTAGGTTACTTAACTGCCTAATTATGATATACAGTATATATGTACCTGTCGGTGATTCACAAAAACCTATTCAAAACAACACTCAATTTTAGTTCATAATAAAATTTCCTATAGCACACACACATATATATATTTATCTGCGATAGGCAATGTCATTGTCAAAATACAACCTGCCACATATATTTTTGCTGTATTCGGCAGTGACGGAAAACAGCTGTGTTTAAGCATGTGCAGTAATTCAACAGAATTACTTTCTGAATTTACTTTAAAATTAGGTTTATTGATATAAGTAACTGTAGTAAGTTATCTGACATATTGTAATGAACAAGCTGATCTATAAATATTCATAAAATCACTGTTAATATCTGATGAAGTTTGGAACTATATCTCCATGCAGAGCTCTTATTTTGGCATATGTCATCAGGCAAAATTCAGCGTAACGTCAACGACAGGTAAACAAAGATTGAACAACAAATCTACTGAAGTTTTAATTTTGTGAATTTCAACCAATGTTGCAGGATAAATAGAGTAAATGGCCAGTGTCTTAAAATATAAGCTGCATTTTGACTCCGTGAAAAAAATGACAAAAGTGGCGAGCCTATATATTCCCTGTGTAAGAAAGTATAAACAGTCTGACATCCAATAACACTGTAATACTGATTTGTTTATTAAAAGTCACATGGTAATTCTGATACATTATATGAAATGTGGAATAATTAAGTAGCTGTTATATTCAGAGATGTTTACAAACCTCAGTTATTGCTTTAACTATTTTTAAGTTTTAATTCATAAAACACACAAACAGAAGGTTTTCATCATTTGTGGTTGCCAATGACCATCAAGGAAGATAAAAGAAAGATAAGTTAATGAAATTTAGGTTGTATTAACAAGTATCACTACAGAAATATTAAACATGTATTTCAATCAATATCAAATGTTTCACTATAGATAATTATTCTGATAGGTTTCAGTAAAACTTTTGTAAACCAATCATATACTGAGGTAGTTATCTGTGACCTGAAGTAAATAATTATCATCAAATACCTGATATATATGTATATCACATTTCCACGATATATCTAGTGTTCCTGAGACAGGCATTTAGACTTTATATATTTGGAGTTTATGAGAGACATAAATTTGTTTACTGGCATTATACACTATGCATTGGTCACAATTAAATATGACATATCACAATCACCTAAAACATATTGTAATTCTAAGGTTTCAGAGGTTAAAAAGTAAAATCATTATTGTATCATTTGTTTGTACCTAATATTCAAAAAAATAAAACACACACAAACAACATATATCAAGGAAGAAAAAATAATATGACTTACAAACAAACATAAGTTTGACTTACTTTCCAACAATATTCTCTAAAACACTACTTTTGCCCGCACTTTGACAGCCAACCACAGCTATCTGAGGGAAGTCTACACTGTGATAAAAGCTACGTCCAATGTTAGAAAAGGCATCCTGGAGCCGGTTCACAGTCGGAATAAGTTGATTGAGTGCAATTGGACCAGACATTTTCAGGTTAGAAGTCTCACCTCACTCAAGAAGGTTTTCGAATTTGAAAAAAATGAACAAATTAAAATCTTTCTTCAAACAGTTTTTGACAATCCGTAAATCACTTCACCTATTTTATGGTTTCATAGTTGGTGTGTACGTTTTAAACTTCCATTTTCAATAAAATAATTCATGACCAAAATTATGAATTTACAATATCGTTATTTCTTTTTGATATATTAATTTTAGAAACTGTTATGGATTTACGTACATAAACACAATCCGAATCAAAATGATAACATGCTTTTAGACAACGATCCAAAGTTTTGGTGTCCTCGAATGGAAAATGCTTGTTCATGAACTGACAGATGATTAGTCAAAACGAAGAAATTTCTACACTGCCTAGACAAAGTAACCATAGATGACATCATTTGCAGTAAGAACTAATTTTGAGACAATTTGTCATACTGGTATTTTTGTCAGCATTGTATGTGCCTGGTAGGTATAAGCGGTCAAATACAGATCTTGACAGAGTATATCCATATAAGGGCATAATCAATGAAGTGAAACTTAATTATATTATTCATAGGTCAAAAGTCAAAGCTACGTACCTGGGTAGTCATATCTAATAATAATTTGAATGTCTAAAATCATGGTCACCAGATCTAGACCATTTGGTATGATTCATTCCAAAGTTCCAAATACATGACCATAATTTTTATTTTTATAAAATAAATGTAAAACAAAATTTCAATATTTATGTTTTGTATTCTGAACAGTTATTTATATTCACCAAGAATAAATATATGTATAATGTATCCATTCAGAATTGAGTCGCCTCAGATTCATATGATGGGTAATGTCTAAAAATAGTTGTATTACCAATACATACACACTACCTTCAACATGACATAGTGGTACATACCTACATCTATAAAGATGTTTCCTTATTTTTTTATATATCAATAATAAGTTTGAATTACACAAAATGACATATTTGTTTTGAAAAGTGACCTTCACCACAGTGGTATGCTTTGTAATCAATGAACTTTTTATATCATATGGTATTATTCTTCAAATTATCCCCCTTTCACACGGTTAAAGTTTAATATCATAATTGGTTTGTGGGAGGAGGTGGCGCTTATTTAAAATTGGTAACTTTGAGAAAATAAAGGAGGTTTACTTGTATGTGCAGGCTTATTTGGGGATAAATATGATATGCAAATGTGTGTAAATGCAATGGAAAAAAATTTGGTAAATTCCAAGAAAGGAAATTTGAAAATGATGTCCTTTCTGTTCACAACTAAATGTCTTTTCTGTTCACAACTCAATAATCATGTGATATCTGACCAGATACATTGTTTATCATGGTTATACTATTGAAGTAAATCTTGGATACAAGCTTGAGTGATTATTATCATAAATGCACCTTTGAAATAACAGCACGTTACACAAGCCCTCTTCCCTGAAACATTGATCACGCCCCTGTGTATGAAAGTTGTTATCTAAACAATGATCTGGACTAAGCAATGGTTTCAGCATTAAAATTGGTTGCTCTGGGCATCAGAAAAGCAAATTTTAAAAAGAAACACAATCCGAGAACAAATGAGATTATTCTTGTTTTGAGAATCAATCATGTCCTTATTAACAAAGTAAGAGATCTTTCCATTGAGGGATAATACCCTGGTATATCAGTAGTGAAACAGTCAAGATTCTTCACAGATCAGTTTTAATCTTCCAATTTGGTGAAGTATCGTATAGCTGTCTTTTTCACCTGTATTTCTCTGACAATAGGTCCATGTTTGGTTAGCCCACCAACATCTATAAGCTGGCCATACAGAGTTTATGTGTTGACCCCTGGACTTCTTGCAGAATAAATTGATACACCATAATATTGCATATACTCAGACCCAACCTTAATGTCTTGCATTTAAAATTTCAATTACAGAGCATCAGAACAGGTATGATTTATCTTATAACAAAACAAACAGCGGTAGTTATCATGTCTTGAAGTAAACTTTTTAAAGCTTCGTTTTAACTTATACAATTACCATTATTTTGGAAAGATGTCATATGTGTGTAGTAGTGAAGTATGACCATGACATGCAATCAACAATTTTGTTACAAATCAAAGTAAAATTTGGTATACTATGAACTGCAACAAATGACCTCCTGATGACATTTTTCAGTGTTACCAGTTAAAAAAGACCATATGCATCCCTCAAAATCATTTCATCACATATGTCACTAAAATGTTTAAACCATCACATCACATGTTATTCTATTTCTACATAATTAGTCTTAATGTTGAACCAAACAGAAAATTGAAACCTGCTTTTATTTATAAACTATAATCTATAGTTAAGATTTCTGTAAGTTAAGAATGGTTTGAGGGCCTGTCCATCATCTGCCATAGTATTACAGCCAGAGGAGAATCGGGCTAGTTATCATCACTTATGCTAAAAGCACAGCTATCCTGCAGCAAGAATCTAATCTAGGTCTCCACTCTCCACAAAATGAAGAACTGAGCCAAAGAAGCATGGTCATGGTGATCAGAGATAAATATATATATATATATATATATATATATATATATATATATGATTTATGTAGCTGCTTTTATCAAGACAATTCAAAATACAGTATTTCATATCACTATTGTATGAAAGTTGAATAATTTGTGAACACATTCAGTTATACAACTGTATACTTGAGTTATGACATTCAAATCAACAGGTTTCGTCCATCAAGCTTAACTGAAGTGGTGCACTCACATTGAAGAGGATAAATATTCTGGATGTACATTTGTGAATGTTGAGTAGATTTTCATATATTACAACCAGTTCGACAATTGAGGTATATGATAATATTTCCAGCATACACTTACCAACGTAATGAAATTGTTTTTTAAAATATTTTCTTAAGAAAGCCAGTCGTATAATTTCAAACAAAAGTAATGGTCGAATCGACTTATGAATCTGAATTCTAGTACGTGGTAGGTCCAACTCTGGGGTAAACTCCATTTTGTGAATCGTTATGTATATGATACATGTAACATTTAATAATTTCAGTGTACGATGAGTATCGGATAAAAAGTTAGAAGTGCGACACAAACTAAAATGTATTGAGTGATTAATCTATTGTAATTTTTGGAAACATTGATCTACGCCCCCTTCCTGGCTCGGAAATTACAAAATAAAATCACACTCCCTTGAATCGTGCCCTTGCAGTTCCATATTTCTCATATGTAGATCATGTTACGATAGATAATCTGGAAAATGCAAGTTGAGCTAGCTTGACGACAACAACAACACAGACGAAAAATGCCGGAAGTAAATATTGTCATTCTTACCGTCCAACGAAGTTTTCCAGAACGCTGCTTTTACCGGCGCTTTGGCTTCCTACGACAGCAATTTGAGGGAGATCGAGAGACAGCGGGACGCCAAGAGAGACAAATGCATCTTGCAGCTTATTCACTATTGGAATAAGCTGCTCCATTCCAATATTCCCTGCCATTTTTGTTCTTATTTTCGTGAAACGTCAGTTCGATTTCACTCAAAACCCTTCATGATGGCGGATGACCCTATACAAGAATAATCGTGACCGCTTACAACGTTGAAAAAATATAATATATTCCTTTTGGCTAAAACACTTTCCAATGATCAAACAGGTGACTTGGAAATGATATTTAAATAACTGAAAAAAGAATACTACATAAATGAGAGAGATATAAGAAAAGTCTATATTTCAATGATATTCTGAAATAAATTATCTTTAGTAGGTCACGGGAGATAACTGTTGATGACTCACATCGATCATCTGACTATTTCGTCAGTGGACTAACCTATCTAGTCGTACCCTCTGGGCCAAGCCTACGGTAACTAGCTATGTTACATAAAGTGTAATTCGGGAATTTTTTATGTAACTTTTAGTCTATCATTAACGAAACGACCATCATTTTGTTTAGTAGTAGTTTGTTTATCTAAATATTTTTTTTTCTATTCAAATTTTGAATTATGTGATCAATTATTTTGAAGTTTCTATTTGATCCTTTCTCTATCGTATAACTTACCATAAAATATCGCATTGTAATTTCACAATCGATATGACAAATAAAATTTAGTAAACAAACTATACACACATTGATTTTAGAAGTGATTTTACCGAAATTTTTTTTCGGTACTTAAATTGCAAGTTGTAGGTTTAAGATTTTAGACACTGACATAAAATATCCATTATGGTTGACCAATATATGTAGAATTTCTACCAAAAATACTATGACACGGGAAAACATTAACAAGGTAAACGAGAAGTTTTGCCTGAATAACTCTCTAAAGAAACTGATGTATGTTATGGTTGCTGGTTGTTCTCTCCTGGTGTATATAGTATTTTGTGACATTATTTATTATACTGAAAAAAAATTATGCTGTTTTTATTTTAAACCGATGAGTCGATATATTCAAGGTTGATAAAGTATTTGTACTTGAAAATTGCACCTCTTTGAAGAAACATATGTCTATTATGCTGAGTAGGACTTTTTTGTCATTTTCATTTTATCGCAAAACTGTGTGTTTTTCCGCCTTTAAATTTTCCTAAAAGTGATGCCGAATGGCGTCGCTAAATGCTATTTTTTGTCATTGCCTAAATCCTTGAACTAGTTACACCAGATAAGCTAACGAATTACTTGGGCCGTCAGCAATGGTCAACCATTGCCAGACAATCTAGAAATCAGCCACGAGCTCTCGAGTTCCGCGTACTTCTTGGAAACCTTAGTTGTTTGTGTGTCGCGCTGACACTTGCACTACCAACTGCTAGTAATCTGTTTTCCTTTGTGAAGAGAAAAACTATTCTTATTTTTTCTGAATGGCCACAGAGCCGCTAGAGAAAAAAAGGTATATTGAATAATTATAGGTTTAAACAATATTTTATTTTCAGATTTTCATTTACAACATACACATACACAAATTATAAAATTGAAAATGGATCTGGCAACAAGATTATAAATCTTATATTAAGCCATCTCCTATTGTCATCGTTAAGAGAAAATACGCATACAAAGTACCACACTATAGAACATAGTAGCTCGTAATAGTCTTCGTAAAGATTTCTTTTATTGTAATGAGACTATTAAATCAGTTATTAAGTTAAATATATAGAGAGTACACGCATAGTACGTAGTATAGAAACATTACATCATACAAATGTAATGAGACTATAAAATCAACTTTGTAGTTTAATTTACACGTGAACATGTATATAGAGTACACGCATAATACGTAGTATAGATACATCACATTATAATGAGACTATCGTCGAAATCAACATTGTAAATAAATTTACATATCGAGTATACACATCATAGGTAGTACATATTCACTGCGGTTTCAACTTCGAAAAGATAACGTGGCTGAGTGGTAATTACGACAAAACTACCGATAATAAAAAAATAAATAAATAAATAAAATACCAAAATGGAAGCATAATCATACTTCAAATTCCATAAAACTAGGGCAAAATATGAACAAAGAAAGTATTACACGGAGACCCTTGGAAAAGTACTAGGAGAATATGGCCAGGTGTTCCGGAAGAGTAAGCGTCTTCTACTTCATCGACAACAACCGGGGTGATGTCTTCTTTTAGTAGGTGGTGGCTACCTCACTGAACATCATGCAAGAGACTCGGCGAACTCTTTCCACAGCACATGGTCGAGTCGAATGGTTTTCTCTGCACAGGCACATAGTCTTTTCGTTTGTTAACAGGAAGATGATGCCCGTCTCTTCAGCAATGCCGTCTAATTAGGGTATCATTGAAGATGTCTCATTTTACTGCCTCGACTCAATAACCCTTTTCTTAAACAAAAGTGGAAATGGAACTCAAACTTTAACAACCTTACCATGAAAATCATGTCACTGTAAAAACTCAGCAACACCTTTATTAAGATAGGTACGTTGTATCAGTTAAGATGCTTAATAATGTATTCATCGTTTGTTTATACTGATAAGTGAATGGAATATTCCAAGATTTTTTTGTATTTCAGTAATAATTCCGTTTAATAATGAATTGAAATGAATAATACAAGTATTACGTTCATGGTAAATCTAGAAGGTGAGCGAGGAAAATGAATATTGGCTGAAACAAATGTACGGATGTAGATGGGGAGGTGTAAACCCCATGATTCAATACACTTTATTATAACTCGATATTTCATTATTTTAAAACCATACCAAACTACACCTTATAATACATTCAGTGGAAGTGTCTTACGGAGTCCTTAGGATCTACTGTCGATGATTTTCACCCGTGCCCTTTGTACAGTCTTTAAAAATTCATAGGCGGTGGTTTTGCCATTAAATTTTTGGTTCATGGTAACCCCATATACTTTGTTGATAAATAAACGATTGTGTTAATGCATATTTCCCTTGATATTTCAACAGTTGTTTAAGCCATTGTAGAAACTCCTTACTTCCCTTTCACCAACGCCAACAATTAAAATTGAAGAAGTGAAAGATAAGTATCTATATGAAGCAGCTTAATCTATGTATCTGTTTATCTATTACGGCTTTTATTAAAGGAGCTGGCTATGGGTGTGTTTTGTAAATAGACAATGAACATGCTGCATCACGGGAGAGTATGGAGAACTGAATTTAAATGAAACTTCCAAGATATCATAATAACTCCCTAAAGTTGTGTTTCTGTGCAGTGTGTCGTACGTTTTTACTATTTGATTGATTTATGTCCCATTTTTGGCCGAATTCAACAAAATTTCACACTAAATGAAGAATAGAAATTAGATTATAGGACAATCAAATGATTTTAAACATTGAGATAACACACTGATGACTATACATCTTATTTCATTAAGTTATGCATCTGTGTTTCGACCGTATCCTGTTTTACAGATTTATTCCCCTTTGTTAAACAAATCATATATTAATTCCGAGTAGTCCTTCCTAAAGTTGATGGTCGATTCTAATAAATTCTACAAATAATGACAGCTAAGTTGTGCATGTGCGTCCGAGTAATTTTTCTATCTTATGTGTTGTACGCCCCCCATCACCCTCCCACAACTCTGTCGAACAATTGTCCAGACTTCTCGTTCCAAAGTTGATTTGTTGTGTGACTGTTTAAAATGTAAAATGGAATTTATAGAGGAATTGATTTTTAGAATGTATTCATCATGTGAAATTTCCCCTTGGAACTTATCTTATTGCTGTCGTTCTTTTTCTCATACAATGTCCAGGACATAATTTATGAGATGTCATCACAAGCGTTTAACTTGTAGTGTACTGCAATTTGGTGTGATTTTCACCTCATGCTTAAATAAGCGAAATACTCCAAGTAATTCTTGCCCTGACCATAAGTTTGACATGTCAGACATAACAGTGTCATTCATCGATGGTGGACACCGAAATAAGGTCAACGACTTTCACCACGAGATCACACAAATAGATATTCATACATCCGAGCACCAAAATATTTTCAGGATTGTGCAAGATATTTTTATGAAACCGACACTTGCCATTGAACCTGCATCGTTCGCGTTGGTAGGCAACTGGAGTGCAATGCTAACTACTTCCCCCAAGTTTATGACATTATCTAACTTTTCAGGTAACAAAGGTCAAATTTGTTGGGGTGCTTTTTCAGACTTCTTCCCAACAACCAAGAGGCTCTGGGTAATTATGATTGACCTATACAAAGCTTGGGTGAAGGACTACAAAGTTATTCAAATGAAGGACATTGATGTACAAGTACTTTTCAACATCACAGGGATAATGAATACCAGAACATGATATTTTGACAGCATTGTAACTCAGTGACATCTACGTTGTACGGGACATTTGAATCGTTCAATATTATATGTAGTATTCAGATATTGTGATTAGTTTTTATGTAAATGATACTGAATTCTAGGTCAAATATAAATAATCTTTTTTCAATGGTTAAAGTATTCAGTTTGAGAAAATTTTAATTCATAATTAAAATCTAGAAAACAACCTATGGTATTTTAAATACCAGTAGTACAAACAGGACATAGAACATCTGACGCATATCACAGTATGATGTTGATTTTAATGGTTGGATAATAAATATGAAATAAACAAAATTACACCAATATATCACTGATACCAATCATTTATGATAACTACTCTTATACACACAACTGGTTTAAACCCAACATTATTAACAGTATTACCCAATAGAAGTGTTCATCTTAATGTCTATTTCAATTCATCAGAAAAATTATGAATAATCATCAACATGTAACTGCTTTTGCATATAGTTTGTTCATTTCAGTATCTCTAAACAAATTTAAAGAGACACTGGTCTTCCTTGTATTCATTCTGAAGAATTTTAAAGATCTGTGAGAGCTTTTAGCTGATCTACCCTATGATGTCAACACAAAAAAATGCCACATATACTCGTGTCTAGAATTGAAACAATTTAGATAAACATCTAAGCTATCTCTTTATTTCAGTTGATACTGTTTTCTATTGATAGTTAGCAAGAAAAAGATGGACACTTGTATGATGCAACTAACATATCATGTACATGATAAGGAGTTTTAAGTTATCTCCCCTTGAACAACAAATAGGAATTGGAATGCCGCAGAGTGACCAAGACAATGTATTAATGGACAAAAAAATGCAAAGGATGGCATATATTCTGTCACAATTTCAACCACAACTTACAAACTATCCTATCCTACTTTTTCTACACAGTTACACAATGCAATAATGGATTTATATGATGATTTTGTTAATTTGTGAATACAATTTGTGTATGTCTTATTTGTTCTATAGCCATCTCTAGTACAATGCTATTGCTGAAAAATGCATGATATTCATTGAATATTCAAAGCACTCTTTAATATAACCATGCACCTAGTTCTGTTTTCATAATTAACAAACTTCTGATATATTTTTTTTGAACCATACATAAAATCCTACTAATGGAGACAAAATATCACATTGCAAGATTTGCTAATGCCTACCGTATACCTGTTATTGAAAAATACAAAACTTTCATTAATTCTCCCATCAACATCATTAATATAACCACAGTATGAATTACATTTTTAAAAATTTGGTTTCTACTTCTAAAATTTCTAGCATCCTTATAATACACAAATTAAGCTCCAGTTTATACAATGTCTATACATACATCTTTCCAAAATAAAATATTACAACAGTAATTAACCAAACAGTCAATTTAGATTGAACTTTAACATATAACCTTCAAAATGTTCTTCTCATTTCAAATACTGTACCATGTACGCAGTAAAAGAAAAAACTTTCAACAAGTTCTCAGAGGTGATCTAATACTCTTCTCTTTCATGATCTTTTATTTAATGCACAGCATCTTGTTCTTCTACAACGAGAGATCAAGTCCAGTCTATCTGTTTAGGATATCCCATCACAATATAACCTGTACAACTTTGACTAGCTACTGAAGTGATGACATGGTACACGTTATACCTTTGGTACCAGATTCTTGTGTACCTGGGGCTGGATGGACAACACCAAATCTAAGAACTCCTTTATAGCTCTATCTTTGTTCTTTGCCACTCCCATACTGATCTCCTGGATTTTCTGTTTTGTATTTTGGTCTATTTTACTTTCCATGTCTCCTCGAGATCCAAGGACCTATGAATCAAAGGAAATCATGCAAGTAAGTATTTAAGTACATCAACAATAAAGAATTATTACACTTTCAATTGAATTATTTTACCTAAATAAACCATGATAGCTGTCTTACTTAATCATGTACCAAATTTCCGTTACATACGACCAATCCATGTCAAGCTCCGAGAAAACAATTGAAAGCTGATAATTTCTAGATATATTCAGAGTTCATGGACCAAAACTCTAATGCAGTCTCCATCTTCTCATAATACCAGTACATGTCATTTCAGATTCCATCCATCAAACATTAAATAAGCAGAAACTAAAAAATGAGGGAATGACAGACATGAAAAAACACTTTATGTCTCGACTATTACAAATATGATGACTTACAGATTGCTCATAACGTTTATATTGTTTTTCCCTTTGAGCTTTGTATGCATCAATTTCCGCCTGGGCCTCTTCTTTAGCTTGTTTAAGTCTCCTATTTTTACCTGTCAAAGAATGAAGAATAATTTGAAATTACATACCAGATTTTTGAACAGGCTTTGTTTAAAACATGAAAAATACTCTCACAATAATGAATATTTATTCACTTATGTTCAAACTTTTGGATATCATTCACATGGAAAAGTTATATTTATTCAGAGTTTTCTGCAAAATCAAATGTTCTAACCTAAAAAGAAATGAAAAGGCATTTGCCTGATCCTCCTAGTAAAGGGCTTTGTTTCCATCAAGAGAAGATTTTTTTCACACACAGTTCATGTTACTGTAACTACACACACACTGCTCTGTGTGAAACTGTTACTAATCAAATTTGTGCAGCGCAGAATGAATCTGAAAGACTTTGAAAGAAAATGGCATATAAATATCAGCCACTTTGTTTACGTAAAGAAATAAGAGTGTATAAAAAACACACATGCAAGACCACTAAATTTTAAGGATCCCGTAATGAATACTCGGACATTGTCAGCTTTTCTTCTATTTCGCCAGATGTGACATTATGAGCTGTCAGCTACTGTACTGTATATGTTTTAATTTCTTGTTTTTTCCTATTTTTATCCGTTTGTATATGCTTTCAAAATGTGAAGAATATAGAAATTATCTGGTTTTCTCTCTTTTTTTCTTTATAATTCTTATTTTTAGAAATGACCTATTCTTCTGAGTAGCTAAGTAAACTTTGACTGGTTTGAAGAGTCCACAGGTACTTGTGGTTCGAGGACAGGTACTGTAGAGATTAATCTATTAAAAATAGTAATGTAAAGAAGAATAAATAGTTCACATCTGCTTTAAAAACTAAGTTACCGTATATGAAAAAAAACAACATTCACGTCCTGTACAAGCCTTTGAAATACACGTTTTTTATTGTGAAGTCAATATATGCAAGTCGTTACTCCTAACGGAGTTACAACTATCCAGCTCATCATTACCTTACGTTACATTTGCTTGAATACCAAAATTGCGATCTGCATAAATGTACCTACCGATACTGATAAGGGGACCGGGGTCGCTTTGACAGGTTGTCAACAGAGGAATGTATTTAGCAAATGACCTCCAGCTCACTAATATCTTTCAAGTTACACGATACAAAGTTTGTACATAAAATTAATTTCCCTGTCGTGTTTATCTTACGTTTTCTAGCTTCAGCTACTTTCTCTGCTGCCGTTTTCTCGGCCTTCAACAGCTGTTGGATACCCGTAGACTGACTTGCCATCTTTACACGACTTCTCTTGCCGGACGATCACGGATCATGTGACAGACACGGAACTGATCTGCGTGGTACACACGCTTCGATTATAATTTTTGCTTATGTTGTAAGCGGCACGGCGATTCCTGTGACGTAGACCACATCGGAAGTTCGCCCCATCGTCGATGAGCTTGAACTGCGATGAGCATGCTGTAAATTCCTGAAATATTTCTCCCATTCCACTGTCTAACGTACCTGGCAGTCGTGATATCATTATCGACGGCGGTACTTTTAATTATACACAGGTGAAGCGTTGTTTTGCGTCTTTATATGAGCAAATTTATCATCTTTTGGAAGCACATCACTGATCATTGTTTGCATGTATATTGGCACAGGTGTACACTCGAGCTCCTGTTATTGAAGTAACTGTTTGTAACGTCTGTCTATAGAGCATATCTTGCATTAAATACGATTATTTGACATTGTATGCTAGTAACTGTTGCTTACTTGGCGATAATTTACATGTACATATAATGTAAAGAATTCATAGTATGGCAATGAAGATTTTTTTCCAATATATCACAATTTTATAATGTTGTTCTCCCATTCTAGGAGGAAGTTCGGTGACCATGGCTTCGCCAGAAATGTGCAACTTTGATGCATTCAAAAGATTTCTTCATTTATGTACTGATGGAGCAGTGTATAAAGTTATCGGGAATTGTTGTACAACCGAAAAAACACAATTTTTAACGGAGTTGCTCAATGATCACAAAGGAAAAGAGATTTTGACGGAAGTTTTAAAATGTCACACAGAGAGAAATTCAGTGAAAAAAGACACATTGCTGTTCACTGTGGCACTATGTGCAAAGTCTACAGATAAAGATATAAAACAACAAGCATATCAAACATTCCTAAAGATATGTAAATCTCCAAGGGAATTATTTCAGTTTTTAAGTTATCAAAAATCATTGACAGAAAATACTAGAGGATGGGGTAGGTCCCTAAAACATGCAGTCAGCCAATGGTATAATCAACAAACACCACTAAGTTTGGCAGAGAGTGTTACACGCCAGATTAGCTACTGTGGCTGGACACATAGGGATGTGTTACGTCTTGGTCATATAAAAGGGGCAAGTGATGGTAAGTTGAAAAATATTTTAGAGTGATTGACTGCTGTGTTGTTGTTTTCATGCTCTGTTGTCGTTTTTAAGCCAAGATTTTTCTGTATTCAGCTTTAAAACTGTAATCAGAAGCATACAAAACTTGTTCATCTGATTCAACTTTTGAAGCAGTTTTTGTACAGAAATTATAGAAACAAGATATTCCAAGATTTGTTGAAAATGTTATATCAAATTTTACAACAAATACTTCTATATGTATTCAAATCTACACAACCAAGTACACATATAGAAAATGACTACATTGGATATTTATGTAAATTGTTATGTGTAGTTACAGAAGCTTGTTTATTACAATGCCTCTGCAAGGATTCAAATCCAGGACCACTGACATACTAGTCTTTTGCCCAATGCTCTCTCTAGCCAGGCATTATATTGGGGTTAGCATATACTCCCTCAGCAGGAAAGAACATGTTTTCAAGTTTCCAGGGGTCACAACAATGCTTGTGAAAGTAACACCAAGTATCATTACCACAATCCCAACATGAATGTCACTATAACATAGGCCTTTTTATTTTATTGCCTCTGATTGCATTTAAATCTAGGACCACAGGCTTACTTTTCGTACACTCAACCTGTCAAATTTTAGAGAAAATCTCTAGCTGAGTGGTTTATTATGACTAAGAGTTACCAGGGTTACTTCATTGAAAGAGTGCATGAACCCATCTTCTTACCATATAAATTTATTTGATATGATTCATTTTTGGCACTGTCTGCTACACATTATAAAACTGTCATGGAATCAGATTTTGCTGAAATAAAGAAAGCTTTTTATAAAGAGATGCATGAGATGCAATACTGTTCAGTTCAATTGCTGGAACATTCAAGTGCCAAATTTGTTTTCTAGTTTTAGTTTTTATTCAGGACACTTATGATTAGCAAACAGTAAATAGGATGCCATTGTGAATTTAGTTTGTGTAATTAAAATATGTCAGGATTAGATATCAATAGAAAGGAGTGAAACATTTTATTTGTACAATATGCCTAAGTGTCAGATTGTAACTATTATTCTGCATCAAATGCTCTTAAGAATATAACTTAAGTGTGAAATAGAAATAAAAAAAATGTAAAAGTTAGAGTGCGATTGTTGCTGGCTTGCAATTTTCCTTTTCTCTATTGAATATGTTAGCTTGAGTTGTAGAGAATTATGCAATTGGTATGAGATGAATGTGAACATAATTGTCTGGGTTGGTAGTCTAGTGTAAAAGTTGTGTGAAGGCTGAATACCTACGATGTGGGCCAGTTAGGTACTAGTACACACTATAGGAGGGTATACTACAGTCACCGGAGTGTATGTACCACAACATACACAGTCACATCATAGGAGGGTGTACAACAGTTTTAGGAGTGTATCATAGGACAGTGTACCACAGTCACATCATAGGAGGATGTATAAAAGTAATTTTCAGGATGATATACCATGGTTGTGTACATCATTGGAGGGTATACCTACTGTCACATCATAAGAGAATAGTTTGGTCACATCAAAAGAAGGTGAGCGTAAGTCACTAAAACAGGATGTGCTGCAGTCATATCCAAGGTGTGTAATACAGTCACATCAAAGAAGAATGTACTACGGTCACATCACAGGAAACTGCTTTGGTCATATCAAAGGGTGGTGGACTACAGCCATATATGGAGGGTGTGCTGCAGTCACATCAAGGGAAAATGTACTACAGTCACATCATAGGAAATTGTACCACAGCTGCATTATGTAAGGTTATATTACAGTTGAATGAAAGGAGAGTGCGCTCAGTCACATCTAAGGGATGTACAACATTCCCATGAAAGGAGGGTTTACTACAGTCATGTCATAAGGATGTACAACAGTCATATGAATAGCAGGTGTACTAGTCACATCATAGGGGTGTATGTCATAAGGATGTACAACAGTCACATGAAAGGAGGGTTTACTAGTCACATCATAGGGGTGTATGTCATAAGGCTGTACAACAGTCACATGAAAGGAGGGTGTACTAGTCACATCATAGGGGTGTATGTCATAAGGCTGTACAACAATCACATGAAAGGAGGGTGTACTAGTCACATCATAGGGGTGTATGTCATAAGGATGTACAACAGTCACATGAAAGGAGGGTGTACTAGTCACATCATAGGGGTGTATGTCATAAGGATGTACAACAGTCACATGAAAGGAGGGTGTACTAGTCACATCATAGGGGTGTATGTCAAGGATGTACAACAGTCACATGAAAGGAGGGTGTACTAGTCACATCATAGGGGTGTACTTCAGTCACATTACAGGAGTACAACAGTCACATCATACAGGTGTACTTCAGTCATATCATAGGGGTGTACTTCAGTCATATCATAGGGGTGTACTTCAGTTACATCACAGGAGTACAACAGTTACATTATAGGGGTACAAGTCACATCAAAGGGGTGTTCTTCAGTCACATTGTAGGGATGTACTTCAGTCACATCATAGGGGTGTACTTCAGTTACATCACAGGAGTATAAGTCACATCATAGGGATGTACTTCAGTTACATCATAGGGGTGTACAACAGTCACATCATTGGGGTGTACTTCAGTCACATTATAGGAGTATAACAGTCACATCATAGGGGTGTACTACAGTCACATTATAGGAGTACAAGTCACATCATAGGGGTGTACTTAAGTCACATCATTGGGGTGTACTTAAGTCACATCATAGAGGTGTACTTCAGTCACATTATAGGAATGTACAAGTCGCATATAAAAGTGTACTACATACACATTAAGGGATGGATTACTACAGTCATATCAAAGGAGGGTGTGATGCAGTTACATGATAGGATTGTGCACATTCTACAGTTACATCAGATGTACATCTATGTGCTGTAAACATGATGTTATGATGCTACAATCACATACTAGGACACTTTATTACATTTAAGATTTGATTTAACAAAAATGGTGAACAATGTACTGTTGATTCCATTTGTAATTTTCACTTCATCACTTTCAATTTTCACAGAATACAATGTTATATAATTTTGTTTGTTTCATCACATGTGTGTTATGCTGTCTAGAGTAGTATATGTAGCTGTTGTGACTCATTTACCAAATAATTGTAGAAAAAACTTGTATGATATAACAGTATTTATTTTAAAAAACCTGAAAATTGAAATCTTTTAAGTACATATAGTAGATCATTAGTTGACATTTAAATCCACTTCAGATTTTGATTAACTATAATATTTCAACTGATATTTACATTAAAATCCTTGCTGTATCTGAATTGTAACTTGTAAATATAGTTTACTGGGTGTCTGTGAATGTGTTGTAGATTCCACTGTTGATTCTACATACATGTATATATATATCTGTACTGTTGTATCAGAAACACAGGCTTGTTGGTCCAACACATGTACTTCATAAAGCATGGGAGGTATTACTGCCTTCCATGGAGCTATGCACATGTACAGATCAACTGTGGCATAGCTTAACTGTGTAAGTTTAATATCAGCATGATTTAATGCACAGTTAAACTTTTGTGTGATGGACCTGCATATAACACTGGACACCTTATACAAGTATTTTTTGTTGATTAAATGCATTTACTATCATTATTGAAAAGATATTTTATGTACAGGAATATCGCAGTCCCAGGATTAAATAGGTTACTGATGACATGATAAGTCATCAATCGGTACCTTATATTGAGAACATCAGTGGCCACACATTAATACACACATAGCAGAATATAAGACCCTTTAGTTATCATTTAACTGAATTGAGTTTGTATCATGTTGGACAGTGCTGAGTTATTGGCAGAATTTAAATTCTTGTTGTAATTATCTCCCCTTGTCAAATTCTTCCAGATCAGCATTTGTCTGTTTGCCATTCATGGCCCCATTAGCTCAGCGAACATGCAATTTGTTCTGCTCAAAATTAAATGTACTGTTTTTAACTCCCATAAATGAGCGTTCACTCTCAAATAGGAAAGGGCATGTCTGTTTCATTTATGTATTGCCCCTTTTTTATTTGACTTCTGTAATTGCCAAAAGTCAAAGGTTAACAGAATGTCCCATATTCAGAGTGACATTCCTTTGTACATGTATGGGGCTGTTGTGATCGAGTGGTTAAAGTGTCTGACCTCTACCTCTTGGTTGTGGGTTCGAGATCTATGTGGGGCAGTTGCCAGGTACTGGCCGCAGGTAGGATCTCCAGCTTTCCTCCACCACCCAACCCTGGCATGTCCTTAAATGACCCTGGCTGTTAATAGGACATAACAAAATAATAGTAAACCAACAAACTTTCTACATGTTTGATATTGAAGTTTGTTTAGAGGTTTGACCTTTAGACTAATAGGTATATGCTGGGCTAGTTTGTGTATCTCAGGAAGAAGCAAACTGAAAACCTGGATTGTCTTATATTATATCAGCTGAAATAAAGGATATACCTATCATAATCATTCTACAATAAACATAAATAGATACATCTTACATGAGAATCTGTAGATGAATTGAAATTGTAAATAAAGCTTTGATGGGATCAACAGAAAACTGTGGATCAAGTTTTCAACATTCTCTTTTTCTTTATTTATATATATGTTGTGTTAACTCAAAATTTTGATTTGGAAAACTGTTTAAATCACAAATATGTATTTGTTGTGATGCACAGTGTAAATGATTTAGAAGCCTTAGAGTGATTGTTTATAGGACTGCTGTATTTTTATCTCCGTATTGATTCCACTGTTCTACAGAGCATTATACTTCCATTGATGTAATCTTGCCTGGGTACCACTTCTGGTACGCAGCTGTTCACTAGCTATCACTGTTAAGTTGTCAGTATGCATCACATTCTACTTGCTGTAAATGGACACAACTTCCTCTTTGCCAGAAGGGTCTGTCTGAAAAGTTTTACTTCTATGGTTCTTAATGCACATGTATATACAAATAAAGACCATTTGTTTTAATTTTCAGCTGTTAGTAACAACATATATTTGTGGTAG